AAGAGCTGCTTTGTCACTGAATGCAGCTGCAAATAAAAGCCAGAAAAACAACTCACTGCATTTTAAAACATTAATTTCCCAATATGAGGGAAATTCTTATACTTGACAAAACACATGAAGGCCAGGTGGTGTTGAATCAGATCAAGGTAGAACTTTCTTCCAGCCAAAACTCAGTATGACTGAAGACTCTCTGGGGAAGAAGAAAGTGTAGTTCTGTCCTGGTTCTGTGCTGCCTCTGGAACAATGGGGCCAGATACCCAAGGGGAAATCCTAAGGGCTACTGTCCTGTAAATAATAAAACCCCAAACCAGCAGTTATGCTTGAACAAAAACCTCTCTGGCTACCACTGTAAATATGGTTTTAACCAATCAATCAGCCTGAAAGACTACAAAAAGGTCAAGGATGATTATTTAAAGTACCAGTTATCACATAACTGATAGGGGAACAGCATGACTGTGCAACTCTTAAAGCAGAGACCAGATGCCTAGACCTAAGAAAAGCTTATTATTGAGATTGTGAGGCTGTGAGGGAAAGAGTTTTTAAAAACACACTCAAATAGCAACCCTCCTTGAAAACAACCACGCTTATACTATCCTGTAATACTAAACTAACACAGTGAAAAAGCAAGCGAGCAAACAAGACTGAATATCTACATGAGGAAAAAAACAAACCAACCAACCAACCAAAAAAGTGGGTAATATTGAATCTATTTGAGAATATTTTTTAAAGTAAAACTTTATTTTCATAACAGGAACAATTGGTCCTGACAAACTTACTTCACTTTACACATGAAACAGATTTGAGCTCAGGCAGTTACAACAGTGTAACTCCTGTCAAAGAACTCTAAGGAAAAGCTTATATTGATATCAAGTTTCTGCTTTTCAGACTCCTCAACCTAAGGGCTGATTAGGTTTAGAAAAAAAATTTAAACAACAATATGATGAAAAAAGAGGCCATGGCCCTGGCATATGGTATTATAAACACAGGAAAGCGCCAGTATAAACCTTTATCGGGAGACTGGGTTCTTTGTCAAGCCGTGCCTTTCTTCCAAAACATCCTTGCTGCCATATGTCTGCATCTCACCAGCTGCAGGCCTAATAAGAGACTTTTTATTCATGCTGTATAATGTTTTACAGGTTTGCCACGGGGGTCACTCGCTGGGAGTAATTTACGTCACAACCCCAACAGCCTCGGAGCCGAGGGGAGCCAAGAAATGTAGGCTGGCGGAGGAGAGGGGAGGGGGGAGAGGGGAAACATCAGACTTGGAGCTCTGTCATTTCATCTCCTCACTGAAAGCTTGGCTTTCCAACTTGCTCTTCTGCTCCGAGGTGCTCTGGGACCTTCCTGCTGTTTTTACACTCAGGAGAACAGGGGAAATTAAATACACACACTTAGATGAAGACTGCTGAAAGACTTTATTCCCTCTACTCTTGTTCCACGCCTCATTATTTGCAATGACTCCGCAGTTCTAACAGTTTTTGTAACCTGTTTGGAGTATTTTCTGCATTTATTAAATGCAAATTGAAAGACATGCTGCACATGCGATGCAGCCTTCATCCAAGCCAAAATGGAGCTGGCTGCCTGATGAAGTCAGTTTTTAAAAGTAAAACTGCTACCCCACCCTCACAGTTTATCACTCTAACCTGGCTCTCTGCAGTGCTTTTGGTTTGGTTTTTTAATCAGTATCCACTAGTTGTAGGAAAACGGCTTTTCAAATCTGTGCTCTGTTATAAAGCAGTGATATAATCCCGCTACATTGCCATCTAAAAAAGCAAAGGACCAAATCTGGTGCAGGACTGGAGTGATCAGAGCATCTCTTCCAACTGTCAGCAATCCTGCAGGCAGGGAAATATTTGCCTTTCCTCCTCATTCCCTTTCACATAAACAGAGAATGACGGAGATGGGTGGAAACATGAGGGCAAGGTAAAAATTTGCCCTTTTTGCTGCTGGAATAATTTGCTCATTTAATGGCTGGTGAAAGGAGTGTTGGACAACTCAGTCTTGCACACCAAATTCAGAGCCATGCCAACAAATTCATGCAAAGCTGCCATGTCATTGCCCAATAAGTGGTCAACAGCAAAGACCAGAGCTTTTAATTGTTCATTTCTAGTCAAGTCAATATTTCAGGGATTTTTTGTAAGTGCAGGTATTCTGCAAGTGTCAAACAGAACAGGGAGGGGAAACTCTTGAAACATTTTCAATTCTTGCACCACTTTGGGGAACTTGGGGCTTTTGTTTTCCTTTCCTTTCTGCCTGTCTCAGGGGATAGGAAGCTTTTTACTTCCTTTTAAACCCCCTTCTTTTAAAGGTTTCAAACAAGACAAGCCTTGCCCAGTCAGATGCTCACCTTTTTCTTTTTCTTTTTTAAATGCTAGCAGGTCATTCACGAGGCAGAACATTTTATTTAGTTAGGAAACAGCTGCAATGGAAAGTGACTTGGAAAATATGAGGCAGGTATTTCCATGGAAAGTTTAATAGCTACGAGAGTTATTTTGCTAAAATTTTAAAAGTTTAAATGTTTTAGTCTTAGTTTTGGGTTTTGTTTTTTTTTTTTTTTTAAGAAAAAGGACACCAAATGTCTATGTTCCTTTCTCTTACCTGGTTCCTGTCAAGTCATTATTTGAAAATATGCATCAAAATACAGTGTGTTTAAAGAGCTCCTTGTCTTGGAGTTAGACAGCTAGAGGGGAGCTGCACCTTGCACTTTTGAAATACCAGCCTTCCAGACTGAGCCCATCGTACCAAACAACACCTAAAAAAATCATCAAGGACACAAGAAGAAAATGAGAGCAATAACCAAAGAAGCAAACATCCTGACTCTTTTAAATATTTTAATTTATTCAAAATTATGCACATCTAAAAGATGCAGCACTAGCACTTGCAGGCTATAAATGCATCCTCTGCACAAGTGCAGCAAGCCTCTGCATCCCACCCATCCACAGCTTCTGAAGGAAGTGAGAGATGGAGGACCAAAGCACTCAGGGCAAAGCCAGAGGTTTATGAATGCAAGAAAGCCTCTCAGTGGAGAAATATAGATCTTTCAGGTCAGCAATCCCTAATCAAGGCTGAAAATAGCACTTCAGAGCTGTGGCACACTTTACAGCATGTTAAAATTAGCATTATGAGTGCTGAAACTCCAGCAGCTCTGCTGGGAGTCCTGTTAATGAGTGTACAGGAAGTGTAGTACCGAAGTCCTGTGGCACAGACTCACACACACACTCCTGTCAACCAACCTATAAACATTCTCTGCACTAAATCCAAAGTCACGGTCCTGCTCTATTTTTTGCCGTTCTTCCCATACGAGAAACTAAAAATAGGCCCATGAGAACCACGCATGGGACTTTGCTCCTCAAATGTTCAGCTCTTGCAACAAAAGCTGCCCAGCACTGCTTATGGAGAGACTCTTCAGAGGTTTTCCAATGCTTAGATGAAGGATATATTTTATATGTAGATGCACATATGATGAGGTAATGACATCCTTAAGAAATTGTGGATATACACTCTTGCTTATATATGTATTATCTCTCAAGTTCATTTATCTATAATTTATCAAGATAAAAATAAAGACCAGAAGAAAATGTGGGCATGACTTCACACAGGTCTGAAGTTAAAAAAAAAAAAAAATCTCAAAAAGTGAAGCAAAAGCCCCCCATTCTTTTGAAGAATCAGTGCTATGTCATCAAGCAAGGTTACACAACTGGGTGTAGAAGAATCCCTCTAACACCCTGGAAAAAGAAGAGCTGTTAAATTTAAAATGAAAGATATGCCAGTAAGAAAATACAAGAATCACCTTGCCCATTCAGCACCTCCTGTCTCTGCTACAAGGCCTTTTTCACACATCTGCAAGGCAGCCAAACTGCAGGAAGGTCGCACTTCAATGCTGCGAGTGCCAAACAGGAATACAAGCATGCTAAACCAGCAAGCCTCCACCTTTCCCCTGCTCCTCCAGAGAAATGCTTCCCTGCTTTAGGACAGATAACCTTCCTGCTGCTATCAGAAAGGGCATGTGCTGTGTCTGGCTGCAGCCAGCTCAGGGGAGCAGATGGCAGCAGAGGCAGATGGCAGCACACACAGGTTCTGCGGGGCTTGGAGCACACAGTGCTGCATCTTCCAGTGAGGAAAACAAATGCTGGGAGACACCAAACTGAGGCTGAATTGACTTCCTCAGAGCCTCTGCTGCTTGTTTTCCGGGGCTGGAACTTCAAAGAAAATAGCTGCTAGGTTTCTGCAGTGGTGCCCAGCACTATAAAGGCTGGAAAGGCTCCCTGCACCTTGGCAGAAAAGTGCCTGAGCGTTTGTCTCAGTGTGCCATCACCAACTCCACTTTTATCTCATTTCGTTCATTAACAGTGGTGCTTTGTGCTTGCAGGCCGCTGAACGGCTTCTTACACAGATTTTTAAATACTTTGGGGAAGGAGGCTAAACAGCCTTATCTCCCAGGTAAAATAAGGAAACAGAGGGGTAAAAAGTCCCATTGTCTTCTGCTGTGAAAGCTGAGAGTCACTGCCAGAAAAAAAGCTGGAGTGGCTCAGCTCCAGAGTCCTGCTATAACCATTGCAAGGGACTGCAAAGGGTTTGGGTTGTGAGGAGCTGGAGGGGAGGTGGGACAGCCCTGGGAAGAAAACTGCAGTAACAATGAAAGGGGCATTGGGCAGTTAGGGATTCATAGTGGAACTCGGCAAAACCAAAATCATAGGACCAGAGAACGAACGGCTTGGGATGGAAGGACCCGTACAGACCATCTCATTCCAAGCCCCCTGCCATGGGCAGGGACACCTTGCACAACAGCCCCATCCAACCTGGCCTTGGACACTCCCAGGGATGGGGCACCCACAGCTTCCCTCAGCAGCCTGTGTCACCATCCTCACAGGACAGGATTTCTTCCTCGTATCCAACCTAAACCTACTCTGATTGTGAAGCCATTCCCCCTTGTCCAGGAGACAAGGAGCTGGGATCAGTCACTTCACAGTGGAAACCAGTGGAGCAAAGGAGGCAGGGAGTCACTGTGACACAACAGGGTGGAGCAGGGACATACAGACTGGGATCTTCAACACAACATGCCACCAGTCAGCTCCTTAACAGTGGGAACATGACCACAGGTTAAAGGTATGAGCCAGGGAAAGCATTTGTAAGATGAGTCAAAAGAGTTGGGAAAAGTATGCCAAATCATTCACCCAACAGAGCACTGGCAGGTTTCAAACCTTGGGCAGAGACAGATGGCCCTCCTATGGCCAGAGGCAAGCAGAAACCCGATCTCTCTGAATTACCAATTCACCTGAATCATGAATGGAGGGGAAAAAACCAAATAAACAAAGACCCCCCTCACTTTTTAACACAAAAGTCCAATTTTACTTCACTCTTTCTCTATCGCACAGCATGGAGCTTAATGAAGTGACCCTAAGGTATTTCACTGCAAGGTGAAATACTCTGATTTGGCAAACAGAAATAGGTGCTGCCTACAAATGCTTTTGAATGAGCAGCTGCATGTTCTCCAGTATACATAGCACTAAAAATTAACTCCAAGCTATGGAAATTCTCCTGCCCCTTTATTTTCTGGGAGCTTTTAACATTCATCACCACAGTATCTGAAAGCTTCAGAAATATTTATTTGAATAAACTTCCTTAAGGAAGAGAGAGCTAAGACAAAGAGTGTCAGGTCAAATCTGTCTATTGATTTGAAAGGTACAGTATGAGAAGTCCAAGGCCTATTTCTGAGAATTGTTCTTATTATATAATTCTTTCCATATTCAAAAGAGAACCCATTCATTTCTGGAAGAATTCAGTAAATAAGATAAGGAGTCAAGCTGTCATAAAAACTGGAACTTACTTATAAGAATCTGGATTTTAAATAAATTGCCTAGTACTTTACAAAAAGTCATCGCTCTAGAGCATCATTCACCTATCTTCACCCTGAAATATTTTCCTTCTGCAATCTCCTGACTCATTCTCTAAACATATTCTGGCATCCTCAAAAATGTGATCTGAGAAAATGCTGCTGCCCTCAGTGGAGAGCACAGATTTACTTCCAGAACAAGTTTGTTCTGTGCAATGAGTGAATCAAGGGAACTATAGGAAAAATAAATATGCAGAGATGTGTAGGAGATGTATATTACTTTAAAGGTTTAGGACATGAGGTGTGCATGAAGGGGATAGTTGGATGTAGGCTAGTTCAGCTCATGCAGACTACCATAATTTTAGCCTCTTCTTATTTCTGAAAGCTCAATAAATCCTTTTACAATGTTTTTCAGTGGAGTTTTATGAGGTATACAGTCAGAAAAATGAGACCTGCCTTCATTTCTGTTTCAAGTTTCATGAATATTTAAACGATGCAGCAAGTGAAATCATCCAGTGTGAACAAGCTCAGAAACTGTGTCTCGTTAAAGTATAATGAAAAATCATTTTAGGTTCAGATTTCTCTTCCTTTTTTTTCTTTTTTTTTTTCAGTTATGTAAGATAAGTTCCATTTACCTGATTCAGTCGAAACATTAGTCTCTAACAGAAAGAACAAAGCAACCCTTCAATCATAAGTTTGGCTAACCACATACTGTATTATCAAAGAAACAAGGTGAAACACCTCTCCTAGTTTCTAAATATATCCTTCATTGATGACCAATATTGCTTTGCTAACAATCTATTTTCCTGGGAACTCATTCTTTAACCCAACAATTTGTAAACCTGAGCCTTCATCAGTGTCCTTCCAGACAGGCTTTTTTTCACATGCACTGATATTTAGTTATTGGTGTTTTTGTGTTATTTGTGTCATTCTGGAGGAAAGAAAAAGAGTGAGAAACAGCAGTCCAGTGATGAACAGTTGCACAGGAGGCTTCTGCTTTATCAGATGTCTAATTTAACATAGGATGTTGATGTCTGTGCTCAGGTCAGGGGAAAGACAGAAGGAATGACCACTTGAAGTACAACCAGTACAGCAGCAATCAGCTGGTCTTGTAAGGACTGTAAAAACAAAGGTAAGGACTCAAAATCTGTCTTGTCTTAAAAAAAAATTTGTTTTTTAAGCCCTCAGACAAGTGACTTTTGCCCCTTCATTCACAGTTAATTTTTTTTTCTTTTCCTTTTCCTTTAGCAAACAAGTGTCTAAGGCTGCATATTTACATATTCTGAGTTCCAAGAAGGAAAGCTGCAAAATATCAAAATAACTAATTACAAAGAGGATCTTTATATTGAAATATAAAGCCTTCCTGCAACAGCCCTATTGCTTACAGTAGCTCTAGTGACCTGGTCAACATGAAAAAATATATTTTATTGAAACATTAACATTTTTATATCTCATATGAGATTCTTTTATTTTTATTTTTTGGCCATGAAAAGCTCCTGGAGTTGAGTTCAAACCAGCTGTTACTTTGTACTGGGTTTCAAAGATTAATTGTATATAGCATTGCACATTTAGCTAAAAACATATGCTGACTATGAGCATACTTCAAAAAAAAAACAACCCTAGGCTTCTCCAAAAACATACAGATCTTTGGCTTCATTTGCTCTTCTGGCCAGAATTATCTATGCCTAAGAATTTAAATTCTATCAAAAAATGAAGCTGCATTTTTTTTTTTTTTTCTACTCACTCTCCTCACTGCAAAACAAGATAGATAAAATAAACCCCAAGCTCCATAGTTTTGCAGGCTTATTCAGAACTATAAATTCCCTCCTGAGTTGTTTGAGCCCTCAGCTCCCCTGTGACATCTCGGGGTGGTAGAACCATTGTGTTCAGGTCCATCAAAAGATCAGGGGAGGATAAAGCTTTCAAGTTTTGAAAAAAAAAGAGGTTGCCTGAAGGCTGAGGAAAGGCAGTGGAGAGACCAGGCAGAAATCTGTCCTTTCTTTCCCTCCCTGTTCCCACTTGAGCCAAATTCTAGCAAGAAGCAGAGGATGGGAACAGTGAATGCATGGCTCATCTTCATTACAATGCTGTTTAAACTCTGGACAGACTGAAGCAGGAAAAATTAATTAAGGAGTAACTTTTCACTGCCATGGTGGGGGAGATGGCACAGAAGTCACCTCTGGGTCACCACAGTAACGTTGCACATTTTAGTGTAAGCTGCAGCGCATTCTACAATGTGAAAAACCTGCTCACTTCTCAGGAGAGATCACCCAGAATTATTTCCTCATGTGGGGCAATGACAAGACTGTGTAAAAAATGCAAACGTCTTGACTCATAATAATTACAAATTTGCTGGAGAAACATGGAAATCCTTAAAGTTAAGCACAATCTCCCCATGCTGAAAACACATAACATTTTATTTTCCCGTGTTGAGCCAAAGGACAGGCTGCAGTAGGTAGGTGAGTACTGCACAGCTGCCACTGCAGTCATGTTCTACAGACTGTTTTAAGGTTTTCTCAATGAATTGCCTTGTACTGGTGGTGGGGGGGAGGGGGGGGCAGGGAAAAGACCCACAGAAACCCCAGAAAAAAAATCCAAAGCAGCCAGCCTCACATCAGTACCTCTCCTGTGCGGAGAGCTCGTACTTTCCAAAGTCAACATTCTCCTTCCCTCTCCGGTTTGTGGGGGGCAGGGAGGGGGCTGTGGAATTTATCAAGTGTTTACAAACTAAATCAAGATAAAGCTGAATGTTTTTTTACTTTCACCTGCACAGTGACAAATATGGATTATAAAAAGTCCTTTGTTTCTTCTGTCCAGGCCTGAAGTTGGTTGAGAGCAAGATTTGAAAGACACCACTTGCACTTTTTTTCATTACATCACTTCATATGACTGTACAGCAAAGGAGCCTACATGATGCAAGCTAAACCTTTTTGGAGAGGAAGATTGTTTCTCTTGGACTGACTTACAAGCTTCAGAGGCCAACAGCACAGTTGAAATTCAAGTATTTGAAAACTCAATCATGGTGTTTTCTTCATCAAATGCTCTATCTAGCAACAGTCCCCCAAGGAGCAGGAAGAAAGAAGATTGTTCCTATTTCTCTCATTTTCCATTCTTCATTCCTTTCTCTTTTCTCTTGCTCCACAACTGAATAGGAGAATTCTCCTCCCCCTCCATCCCTCCTGTTTGCAGGCAGAGATTGGGAAATCAGAACCTGAAGCAGCGTCCCAGCCCATTCTAAACTTGTGGGCAGGCTGTACACTTCTCCAGCTCTCACTGGCTCCTTTCCATAATGAGCTCAGAAAACACAGAGCCATCCCCAAATATCACAAGCACCAGACTGTTCTGCTTCTTCAGACTCCATCACTGAAAATGATGAAGCAAGACAGGAAAATATCCCTCCTTCCCCTACCTTTCATTTATAATTGACCTCTTTGATCCTCTCTCTGGAAGGGTCTGAACTTTTCCTTGAGGTCAGCCAGCCTAATGACAGCAAAAACAAAAACTCAATATTCATTTCAAGAAGTGTCAGGCATAAAAGAATGAAGTCCCTGAGAGGAAAGTGAAGGGGAAACTTGGGAGTGGCAAAACTACCAAAAAAACTTACCCTGAGAAAAGACAAACCAATGACAGTGTTTTCTTTCTTGCAAGCAAGCAAATATATCTGCAAATTTCTAGGTTACTTAAGCAGTGCTTTTAAAAATTATTTGCTAGGGAACCAAGTATAAAAAAAAAGAAAACCCAAAAATAACGACAAAGCAGTATGATATTTTTAAATTATTAAATGCAGTTATTAATATTTTTTTTTTCAAAAGGAACAGCATCAAGGATTCACAAATAAAAAGCCTGGGAGTACATACTGGCACCTGAGATACAAGTAACTAGAAAAAATATATAGTTATTCTTAGTTTCACAGAGCCCAAGAAACTCCATACATTGTCTAATCCTTTTTATCTGTGTTATTGCAACACTGAACTTCCTGGAGAGACACTGTGCTGCTCCCTTGCCACGCTGGCCTTTCAGAGAGCACTTTTTCACCACTGCAAAGAAGAAGTGCAGGCACCAAGGTCCCCTAGGCTACCTGGATACAAATTTGGGGCTACCACGCACAGTGATGAAGGCCAAAGAGAAGCTGGCACAGATAAACACTGAGGACATGCACTCCCAAAGGAACAAACATCACTGGATTTGGTCACAGACTGAACCCAAAGCCCAAACCTGCACCATTCATACTTCTACAATCTCACTTCCTGAAAATTTTTATTTTCCATGAGTGCAAAATAACCTCCTGAACTGCTATGCTAGCAAATCAGTCATCAAGAATTCCCAAAGTTCTTTAAGAAACCAGTACAATTCAAATGCTATGGGTAAACCAAAGTTTGGATTAAAACCTGAAATTTTGATTGAAGTCAGGTTAGGAAGCTGACACAGTTAAACATACAGATTTTTGAATCATGAATAATTCAGGTTGAAAAGGACCTCTGAAGGTCACCTAGTCCAAGTGCCTGTTCAGAGCAGGTGAACTCAGGGTGATGGTTGAGGTGAGTTTTCCACCCCCAGAGCAGGTGTGCCACAGCCTTACACTGTACACTGCTCTGGTGTTTAACTATCCTTGCTGTGAGAAGTTCTTCTGCTTAATCTGACTTTCTCTTGCCCTGCTGATTGCCCCTGGATGTTACAAAATGCACCTTTGAGAGAAACCTGGCTCCACCTTCTCTCTGATCCCTTTTTGGGTAAACTGGAGAGAGTGAAGAGGTTAGAACCTGCTCCTCAGCCCTTTGTCTCAGCCTCAGTGAGAGGAAATCACACACAGCAAGTCACAGAAGGTCTTGGGATGCCTGGAGGGAAGGGAAAGATGCCTTCCACCAGCTGGCCAGCTCCACTCTTGCAGTGGCAGCGGGTCCCTGGTGAGCCCCCATGGCCTGGGATGCCTCAGGGTCTGGCCTGACTCCTTCCTGATCCATTTCCCTGCAGCCTTTGGAGTTAATCACTCCACAGTGCTAATGGGCTGCTGAAAAGGGCAGGTTGTTTCTTTTGCCCTCATATATTTCATGATTCACAGAATTCTGAGAGTGCTTTGACTGAGTGCTCTGGAACTGACTGGTGCCATACTTGAGGCTGCTGTCAAAGAATTAATTTTCTGGAAAAAACCAAAACAAGGTATCAGTATCTACCTTAACAATGTCACCTACACAACAAAAAAGACTTTGCATGGAAGAATATGTGGCTGTAAGGCTGACAGCTTTTTAAGGGATATTGGCCTAAGGCCACAGATGAAAATCTGTCCTCTGAAATCAAAGAGTTTCTTAGTGCTACAAAGCAAAAGATAACCAGCACTCCAAAACAAATCTCATTTTCCCTGATTCCCAATATGCAACAAAACAAGAAAACCAGGCAACTACTGGTCAAACCAAACACCTGGTTTCCAGCATGCAGCCCTCAGCTCGGCACTCAATCACAGTTTTGGACCTGTCATACCATGAATCAAGAGGAAATACTTTAATTTGAAAAGCAAATGTAGTTACAGTAAAGAAAGAAGGCAAGTGTTCAATCTGCTGGCACCGTAGCTCCATCCACCTTCCCAGCTTCCAGAGCAGGCACGGCTGGCAGAGCAAACTGTGCTGCATTTCTGCTCCCAGGTGTTTCCTCCCAGAGCTTTTGGGGCACCCAGGCTGTGCTTTGAAGAGAATGTGTCCTGCATCTCCCCCCTAAAAACCTCTCTTACTGCAAGTACATAAAGCATTATCTTGACTGCTTAAAGTCTTTCCCCCTGGCATGCCAAAAACTCTTTTGGGGTTCTGCGAAGAATACTTAACTAAGTCTTCCCTTAGAAAGGTTGTAAAGGGTGAAAATAATCAAAAGGGGTGAAAGAGACAGTTTTCCTTTTCCCCTCCTGATAATTGCACAAAACATCTCAGACTGACAACAGGAAAATGATCACCTTATAACAAGAGGACTGTTGGTTTGTTGCTGCTGTGGAGGATTTTATGGCAAAGGCTTCAGGTCACAGCCAATTACTGCTGTCATTCTCCACACAGTGCTACATGCAGAGATTTGATGAAGTTACAATACAGGTGAGGTTTCCTTTGCATTTGTCACATTACTTTTCTCGGCGTTTTCTACTGATAAAATCTATTCCAGCTCCATTTCATCCAGTTTTTTGCTGTCATGTTACCTGATATCAGCTATGAGCAATACATGCTTCAAATCCCACCTACCAACAGAAAGAAGAAACTTATTGTCTGGAACTCTCCTTTGCAGACTCCAAGTCAAGTGACTATCCATGGCTTCCTTGGTATGGACTATTTTCCAAGCCTCAGTGAGATACAGACCATTTAACAGCCAATAAAACCATTGGCCAGTCATCAACTAGAAGACTATAAAAAGTTAAAATGATCTTTTGCAGGCAGATACAAACCACTTTTCTCATGCCTCGAGGCAAAGGAAAGACAAATGCAGTTTCTTTTAGTTTAATGTCAAATCCATGTTAAGAAAGTGGCTTAAATTAATTTGGTTTTCTTTGTAGCAAAATGAAATGGGAGCTCTCTGACAGTTTTGAGTCTCAGTGGAGGGTAAAATGAGGAACAGTTGAAGAGTGGCAACTTTGTAAATTGGTATTGCTGAAATCATTCACTGAAACCTACGTGAGGCTATATGAAGAACCTCAAAAAATTATTATCCTTTTTTTGTGATGTCACTGCAGTTTGTAAAGACAATGCACTGCACCACAATGGCACACACACGGTTTTGGCACAGGGATTGTTTTATTTTTAATGTTTCACATGCATCCCAACACCCTGGAAACAAAAGGAGCAATATAGGATACTTCCTACTTCCAGCATGTGATATGATCACCACTGATACGGCCATCCAGAATTTTATTCTGCTGTGAGTCTAGATACCAACAGATCCACATTATATCTCTTGCAGAGATATAATAATAAATATGATATAATAAATATTATCTCTATTATATATATATAATATTATATATAATATAATGATGAATATATATATAATTATGATATAATGATAAATAATGATATTATAAAGAACCAACAGGCAAACTGTTGACCCATAACTAAATAACCTGTTGTAGATATTTAATATGCAGCAACAGACAGATATATCTGGCAGGCAGGAAAAAGGACTCATTGACTTCCAGTACTGACATGCCCACAAGTACAGCAACTCTTCTAAATGAAATAAAAATTTTTTAGAAGTCTAGCCTAGAAAGGAAAAATAAAAGTTACAAAATTAGTAATTTTTTTTTTTTTTTTTAATCTGAGTAGGTGACATTTTAATACTGGCCTGTGGTGTAAACAAACTGGAGTATCAAAGATGTGTTGGATGAATAAATTGTATTACATCAAAAGACAATAAAGGATTCTTTCAATAGAACACCCTACCAGGATTTTACTGATTTTACTGCTGATCCTAGATGATTGAAGTGCTCTTTCTATGATCCATGGACAAGCCCACACAGACTAGCAGAGGTTTAGGAACAGAAAAGCACTCATACCTATATATGGCTCTGTTATATGGCACTGCAAATAAGTGCAAATACAGTAAAATATATGAAAGGACTCACATGGTGACCAAAATAAAAGCACAGACAGACTGGAAAATTTCCCACTAAAACAGAATTCATTCCTGAGGTATTCATTTCAATGGAAATATGCTTTTGCTCTTACTGAATTTAATAAGGAGATCTGCCAGTTATTACAAATGCAGAAGAAGCAGTTACCCTGAAAGACTGAGCCAGTCAAGAACATTAAATCCTACAAGTCTCAAAAGTTTTGTCACTTTTAATAAAAGGCTCAGACAGTGTACTGGTAATCAAATCAATCTATAATGACTATTACACCGTACACACAAGAATGCAAAAGCTCTGTAATCGAGATATGGAATTGTGAGCTCACACGTATCAGGTGGGATCTAACCCAGCCCAAAAGCAGCCAAAACCATTATCTGCCTGATAACTGTTTGGCAGCTTCTGCAAAACAAGTTAGGCATGTCT